GCATGAGGTTGTGTATGCTGGAGATAACGGAGGGAATTAAGGGGCAATCGGTTGGAAGATAAATTCTGCCCTTGTACAGTACCAACCCGTCCTGTATGCTCCAATTGGAGTTGGCCATTCCCGCCTGTATTGTCCTGAGCAGGTCTCCCCATTCGGGTGACTGTGGCAGTTCACTCCAAATGTCTTCTAGCAGGGAGGCTCGGGGCTATGAGATTGCATGGAGTAGCATGTCGTCGTCGCGACGGGACAGGGCATCTGCGGCATGGTTTAAGGTCCCCGCCTTGTAGTCTACCCGGAAGTCAAATCCAAGGAGTTTGCTGACCCAATGCTGCTGTGGCGAGGTGGTGAGCCGTTGTTCCAACAGATATTTGAGGCTGTAATGGTTCGTCTTGACTATGAAGGATCTGCCCCACAGGTACGACCTCCAGTACTGTCTTAGCTAGGCCAATAAGTTCTCGTTCGTAGGCGGGCAACTTAATGTGGCGGTCGGCCAGCTTGCGGCTGAAAAAGGCGATTGGGTGCCCTTGTTGCTGTAGTATCGCGCCTATGCCGGTGCCGGAGGCGTCACACTCCACTGTGAACTCAAGATCAAAGTTTGGCAACTGTAGAACTGGTGTGGAGGAGAGGGCTTCTCTTAATTTTACAAAGGTTGCTTCAGTTGTACCGTCCCAGAGGAAGGCGTTTTTCTTGAGCAGACTTGTTAGCGGGGCTGCCAGCAGTCCGTAATTGTGAATGAACTTGCGGTAGTAGCCGGTCAGCCCTAGGAAACCACGAAGGGCCTTGGTGGATTGCGGTCTGGGCCATTCTTTGATGGTCTGAATCTTGGAGTCATCCACAGTGACCCCTTGACTGCTAATCACATGTCCTAAGTAAAGGACCCTGCATTCCCCAAAGGAGAATTTTGACCGTTTGAGGAAGAGCTGATGTTGCTGCAGGAGTTCAAGAACAATTCACAGATGCTGCACGTGCTCTACCCAAGATTTGCTATAGACTAGGATGTCATCGGAAAATACCAAGACAAATCTGCGGAGATGGGAGTGAAACACCTCATTCATCAGGGCCTGGAATGTGGATGGCGCGTTGCTAAGACCGAAGGGCATGACCAAGAACTCGAAGTGGCCATGGTGTGTTCTGAAGGCCATCTTCTCTACATCTTCTGGGGTCATTCAGACCTGGAAGTATCCTGATCGGAGGTCTAGCTTGGAGAAGTACTGCGCTCCATGGAGTTCGTCTAACAACTCATCTACGACTGGGATGGGAAACTTATCTTTGACCGTCCGGCTGTTAAGCTCTCTATAATCCACACAGAATCTCCAAGTCCCGTCTTGCTTGGGCACCAAGAGAACTGGGGAGGAGAAGGGGGAGCGGCTGGGGCGGATGATCCCTTGCTGTAACATGTTTGCGCACTGTCTTTCTATTTCATCTTTGTGCCGATGTGGGTAGCGATAGGGCCTGATAACAACGGGATCTGATCCGGTTATCAGAGGGATTCGGTAGTCGCAAGCTCTAGGAGGGGGAAGCCCCTTGGGCTCCGTGAATACTGCAGAGAAGTCCGTAAGGAGCCTTTCCATATCTGTTGAGCGTGAGTCCCCACCTTGGAGTGTATGCAGCTGTGCCCTTGTTCTTATTCTGGTTTCCCGCCATGTGACTGGTTTGCCATCCAAGTGGAAGGTCATGGTCAGGGCGGCGAAGTCCCATAGAATTGGTCCAAGCGTGATCAACCATTTAATATCTAGGATGATGTCAAATTCGTCCAAGGATAGTACAAATAAATCTGCTTGGAAGGACTCTGTTCCGACCTGAATTCTAGTGTCTTTGCAAATTCCGGGGCTGTGAACTGTTTCCCCATTTGCCACGACCACCTGTAATTGTGGTCTTCTTTCCATGGGATGTTCTAACTTGCGGGCCGCCTATTCGCTGATGAAATTGTGGGTGCTACCCGAGTCTACCAGAATACGGACCGGCCGCTCTGCTATCAATGCTCTCAGTTGCATGGTTTGGGAGGTCTTGACCCCTATAATGGCATGGAGGGAGATTTCTGGTTCTGACGTTGCAGGTTCGTCCTCTTCCTCTTCGAGTTCTTCTACTAGAAGACAGAACAACTTCTTACACTTGTGGCCGGCAGAGTACAGGTCATCGGAGTTGAAGCACTGCCCCCTTGTGCGTCGTTCCGCCATCTCGGCTCGGGTCAGCCGCCTAATGGGGGGTGCAGACCTGCTGCTTCCTATGCTTGACGCTGATCTGGAGGGGTTGCCCGCAGGCAGCCTTGGTTCTCTGCTGGTGATCGAAGAGGGAGACACTCCTGCTGTCTTCGAAGGCGTCCATGTTGTTGTCGGCCGTCCTATACTGAAGCCCCCGTGGGAGATCTGCATCTTCCTTTCGAAGGCGTGTGCGAGGTTCATAGCTGTGACTAGATTAGGGGGGTGCTGCATCTCAACGTCCACCCTTAGGGGTTCCACTAGCCCTGCTGTGAACATATCGACTTGCTGGTCTGGGCATACCGAGGCTGCTCTAGCGAGAAGAGTTTGGAACTGGCGCTGATAATTCGCCACAGTCCCGGTCTGCTTGAGGTTGATCAGTTCGCCCAGCGGGTTGCTTGTCAGCGGGGGTCTAAACCGGAGGAGGCAATAGGATTTGAATTGT